ATATATATATATATATATATATATATATATATATATATATATATATATATATATATAAATATATATATATATATATATATATAATTAGTTTTCAGTTTTCAAATCCTACTGGCCACCAAAAACACTAAATCAGCTTCTGTTTTTCATTTGGGAGGACACTTGGGAGGTTCTAGCCTGCCATACAGTATAAAACCGGTCTAATGGTGGACAGTAGCCCTATTGTTTGAGGTTGTGTGAGGTTAGAAATGTGGTAACTCCAAATCCGCAATTTCACTGGGTTCAAATTGTCAAATTCAGGTGTTACGTCAACTGAATATATTAATTGCTGCACACATATTGAAGCAAAAAAGGAATGATGTGGCAAGATTTTACGGATTGATACAAGATGCATGGGTTCTGAAATCCAAAAGCCTCAATCCCTGGGGTGTAGAGGTGGGCGGATCGATCCCAGGATCGATACTATCGATACCAACGCTGGTATTTATATTGAACAATATTCGTTTAACAAGATCGATACTTTTTATCCCCTCTCGCGCGCGCTGACTGCTGCGGAGTCACCAGTTTCCCCATATGTGTAACAGCACTTTGCTCCCCCTCCCCTCTCCTACAGTCACATGGCTCAGCGGCGCCAGCCAATCAGCGCGCAGGCTTAGCTTGGCCTGCCCACTCAGCACTACGTCACACAGACAACCGCGCTGCCGGTTGCTGGGTGAGTGCTCACTCAGACTTGGATGGAGAGAGAGACCAAAGACCCGCCTCCAGCCTCAGACAGACATCTTTGACCCAAGCGTTTCAGTCCTCCAGAGAATATCCAGGTAGATAACAGTGGTCATCGTCTGCAGCACTTCATTATACATCATATATTACTCAGAAAGTGTAGTTAAGACCTTGAAAAAACCCAGTACATTTATCCCATTAAAAATTGTTAGCTAAAATAAGCTAACATTAGATAATCTCTTATTTATTCCACGATTGAGAACTTTATAGAAAAAAAGCAACAGGCAAGTGCAGCTTAAATGTAAAAAGTATCGGTATCGATATCGATATCGGCGATACTGACCCAGTATTTACTTGGTATCGGATCGATTAAAAAATCCCGGTATTGCCCACCTCTACTGGGGTGCTCCTGCTTTTAAACTAACTGGACTCACATCCTGTCAGAATGAGAGCCTTAGTGAGTCAGTAAAAAATGCAAATATGTCAGCCCAAAAGCTGTTATCTGTTTTCAGCAGATGATTCTGAGTGACTATTGTTGTGTTCCTGTGTAGCACTTTGGAGCAATGTCTTCCAGAGGCCCCCATTTCTGTTCATTAAAGAAACTACAGAGTCTCCCATCAGCAAAATAGTTCACCATGAGGTCATGGTAATCTAACACTTGATTCCAGGAATTAATCTGTAAGCTCTGGTATGGTAGTACATCCATTACTCACACAGTCTTCAGTATATTTTTTCCAGTTCTAGAAAGAGCTCTCACTCCTACTAGTAAGTCATAGGAAAGAAATGGGTTGTTCTTTGCATACGCCAGTCTTCTAGAGCTGTTGCGATTGTCCATTACATTATTAATTCCAGTTAAAATAACATCTATTTTCGAAAACATTCACAACAAAATTAAAATATAGTTTTTTTAACGTTTCGGTGGAAAAAATGGTTTACGCATGTTTTGAGGAAATAATTTACTAAATAATGCACCAGATTTAATTTGACCATTAAATTAATTTTAATTTCACTAGCTTAGTTAAAAGTTTTTAATTGAAATATGATTCACCTTTATTTGATTTATATTTTTTTGATATTTTTTTATATCAGGAATAAATGGTTTGTTAGTTTATTAGATAGGTCTACAGAGCTTGTCCTTTGATTGTGATGGTGCTTCAATTCACCCACTTGTCCTAACAACACAACCAGTTAGACGTGTTCTAAGGACTAAATGTGACAGAGCAAAAATTACATGATTAAATGTTTAGTTATATATACACCAGTTTCCGCTCTTGTACATTCCTTTTGCTTCTTTATTCTAGCTTTTGCTCTGATTGTTGAAAAATTGAAAAGAAAAAGGTTTAATTTTTTTTATTTGTCGGTTTGTTTCGACGTCAAGATAAGAAACATTTCAAAAGGCTTTACTGTACAGTTTTTTGTTTGTTGGTTGGTTTGATTTCTTTTATTATTGCTATCATTACTAATTCCAGCTCATCCCAACCTTGTTATGTCTCTTCCAGGAGAATATTTTATTCCCAAGTATGATTGAGTCCAGCACTGCCTGTTCTGAACTTTTGATTTGTGGTTTTGATGTACTACTTCCAAACTCCCAGCCAATCTTTGCTCATATTGCTAAATCAATACAGTCACAGATGAATGTTCGCCCAGATGGATTGCAGGTGACAAAAATCAACTCAAACATTTGCTGTGTGTCCATTCAGATATTAATTTGTATATGGAGGATGAGTTGATAGTACCGTGGCTTCAGCAGCTCCAGCCCTGTTTCATTTACAGCAGTCATCCCTCTGGAGGATTGGGTTGAAACAGAGTTCACATCAAGAGATATGAAGTAAAACATTTCTTATAAATTACTGTGTCTGATTTTAAGAGATTAATATGCTACGACTTGAATTTGTCTTGGATGGGTTACAAATGGATTAAATTTGCAACACTCCAGTAAGGAAACATGAACTTTTAGACCGGAACAAAATGTAGAAATTATCCTCTACAGTTAACAAACAACCAATACATAATTGTTAATGACAAAACTGAAGGATATTCATAATAAATATGTACACTAACACAAGAACTTCTGTTTTCAGAGAAGAACAAACTGTGTGATAATAAGCAGGAAGGAAGTTACCAGTAAGAAAATGTGTTATTTTAAACTGTTTGACATGATCCTAAAGAGTTTTAAAACTTTTAAGAAATAATTTTTCTTTGTTTTGCCATAGCCCTTTGCAAGATACAATGACCCATTCATAAACACATGACTGCTGCAGGCAGTGTAGCCCTAAACAATTTTTTATCATGATTTTTGTCAGAAAAATATGATGATGACACAAGATAAAGCAGAGGCTATAGTCTCAGCAGACATAGACTATACTACCATTGATATTTCTTAAACCTATTAAATCTAGCTCTCATGGTGCTGCAATACCTAAAGCCATGACAAGTTATTTGACTTAAGATGACTACAAAAAAAACAAAAAAACAACTATATCCACATATGTCTTGAGGGGAGGCCCAATAATTAACCTGATGGCTACCCTAATTATATTATTCAACCATGAATTCAAAATTAGTAGGTTCTAAATCAAAAGGAAAAAAGAAATGAAAATGTGCTGTGAAACAGATTGGGAATTAAAGCGCTCTATGTTTTTGTGTTCCATATATCTAATATGATAGGTGCTGCCCTATTTCTGTACACAACTGTAGCATTTGCTAAGTGGGTTGTAGCACTCTTGGAAAAACTCACTCAAAAACAGGACGATGAAAAAATATATAAGCACACAGTTTTTTTACAAGTTGTTGCTCAGAAAGCTCTGAGACAATAATATGTAAAACCCTTTACATAATTCATTACATTTTATCAGTTGGACCCTTGGATGATGTCCAAGCTCATTCATGTCATAACAAATGAGCTGTGTGGAAGATTATTTTTTGTTTTGGTCCACCTCTATTCTATTCACTGTAGGATGATCAGCAGGTGTGCATCATTACTCCAAATGATTGAGGGGTTTTTTCCAACCTGGAACCAGGAAGGAGTTGTCAGACCGTTAACTTTTCCACTTTGGTAATCTAGCTAAGCTCCTTGCTAAGTTCATTTTGCTTGCTAGCTAAGGTTTAACCATGTTTGTGCTGAAGGTCACCCTGGGTATAGCCAATGTGAACTTGGCTGAAATCTCCCAGTGAAACTCCAAACACTTAACTCCGAAACACTTGTTTCAGTTTCTGGAAGGCCTTGTTCAGCTCCATGCAGGCTTGGACTAGCAATCTGTGATACTGTGCGAGGGCCGGCCCTCCTTAAATCATACCGGCCACGACACTTACTTTCTGGCCGAAGCACCTACCTGTGTCAGTAAATAACTCAATCAGCTCAAGAAGTAATAATGTTAACTACCTCAATAATACATGCAGTATATATAGCCCTTCCTTGTCATGGACATCCTTGTGACTGTTGGCATATGTGTTTTACATTTGAGATGCACATGCATCTATTTTATTTTTTTTTTTTTTTGGGGGGGGGTCCATAAGTGGGCCATTGTAGATGGAAAAATGCCAGGGCCGAAAAACATTCCCAGTCCAAGCCTGGCTCCATGCCATCCCAGCAAACACACACATTTGGGGCCCAAATGGGGCATAGCAGGGCTAATATTAGGGGCCCATTTGGGAACCCCAACTGGCACCCAACTAATTTTGTCCTCAGTTTCCATGGTGGCCCCAAGTGTGTTTGCCCAGTTGGGTTTATGATGGGCCTTGGATGGGCCCTACATTGTTCCTAGCCAGCGATCACATGTGGGAGCTAAATGGGTAAAACTGGGTTTAATATGTGGGGCCTGCTCGGGCTACCCACCTGGGACCCAGCTGTTTTTGTCCTCAGTTTCCATGGTGGCCCCAAGTGTGTTTGCCCAGTTGGGTTTGTGATGGGCATTGAATGGGCCCCAGCTTATATCCTGACAAACACAGGTGGGGTCCAGATGGGTGGAAGCAAGGCTGATATTTGGGGCCCACTTGGATTCCCCACATGGGACCCGGCTATTTTTATCCTTTTTAAAATTGACCTCCATTCCCCAAGGTGCCTATGATGGGATTTGGATGGATCTCATGTGAAAACCTACTTAATCCAAAAGGTGGATTGATAGTTTTTTTTACACCATATGGGTACAAAATATCCTCCATTTCCTTAAGAGTGGACCACAAACACAAATTCTTATGCCTTTTTAGAAAGGCTATCCATTCTTCTAGAGTAAAAGTCCTAATTTGATAAAACTATTCTGATTTAAATAACTTGTACAACAAAGCCTGTTTTTTTTTTTTTATTAAGAATGCTTAATATACAATTTTTAAACAGTTTTATGAAACAACATATTTTGTATAGAGAACATGTTGACAAAAAGGTTACAGAGATGCAAAAGTATTCAAAATATGTAAGTATGAGCTTTTTTGATAGAAAGAAACAGCAAACCACTCATCACTCATCTTCCGATCTGTCGGTCCTGGAAAAACAAACAAAAAATTAGTGCACTTTGTTTTTTTTTTTTGTTTTTTTTTTAGCAAATAGCATCAGATTTATTACTGGGCTAGACAATCAGCCTCTGAAAATTAACTGCTCTTGCTACTGGAATTTAGTATTTCGAGCTCCAGTATACTCCACTTTCACATTAAATGTCTACTTAAAGCTGCAGTTGGTAACTTTTTAAAAACTTGTTTGTTACATTTTAAAAACTGTCACCATCCGTGGCAGAATAGCATAAGAAGGATCTGTCAAAATTTTAAAACTCATCTGTCTTGATTTTGGCAGCACCATTTATAACTAAATCAAAATCTTAACAGTGAATCGATGTGATCAGTATCAGGGATCGGCAGCATAAAACCTACAGTCGTGCTCAAGATTAAAAACACCCTCCAATTAAAGAAAATGCTAAATTCAAAGTAGCAATTATAACACAAAATTGAAAAAAGTAATAATAAATACAACTTTACAAGATCATAATGTAGTGAAATAAAATGTTGCTTTTAAATTGCGGTTGAAAATTATGGTTAAAAAAAAAAATATCAAAGTAAAACTGTGTCAGACACATTAGATCACCTTTCCTGTGAAATGTACACTGAAACGCCTCTTAACAGGTAAGTCCTTTTATACCTTACAGAAAAAAACAGAGCAGTGATTGTCTTAAAGGGTTGCTCAACAAAATGTTTGTTTCAGAACCCTATCATGCTTGTTCACTTGTTAGATTTTTAATGTTTCTTTTGAACCACAATTCAAATTCAGTGTCATGATTTTCATAGAATTTTTATTTATTATTACTTTGGTCAATTTCAACTTATTTTACAGACAGATTTTTTTTTCTCTTCTTTATTTGGAGGTTATCAATACTCTCGAGTACCACTGTAATCAGAGTATCCCTGACATCCTAAACTGAATTCTTTTAAGACTTAAAGTATCCATGGCAATGGACATTTCTACAACAGGATCAATCAATGAAGCCCTCCAACATAATAATGAAAGAGAAAATATTGTACCCAACACCATCTGAATTGAAGGGGGAAAAAAATAATGCAGCTCAAAACAACTACAGGTAAAAGCTAGTAAATTAGAATATCTTGAAAAACTTGATTTATTTCAGTAATTGCATTCAAAAGGTGTAACTTGTACATTATATTTATTCATTGCACACAGACTGATGCATTCAAATGTTTATTTCATTTAATTTTGATGATTTGAAGTGGCAACAAATAAAAATCCAAAATTCGTGTCACAAAATTAGAATACAGGTGCTGGTCATAAAATTAGAATATCATGAAAAAGTAGATTGATTTCAGTAATTCCATTTAAAAAGTGAAACTTGTATATTATATTCATACATTACATACAAACTCATATATTTCAGATGTTTATTTTGTTTAATTTTGATGATTACAAATGACAACAAATGAAAATCTCAAATTCATCATATCAGAAAATTAGAATATTGTGAAAAGGTTCAAAATTGATGGCCCCTGGTGCCACACTCTAATCAGCTAATTAACTCAAACCACCTGCAAAAGCCTTTAAATGGTCTTTCAGTCTAGTTCTATAGGCTACACAATCATGGGGAAGACTGCTGACTTGACAGTTGTCCAAAAGACGACCATCGACACCTTGCACAAGGAGGGCAAGACACAAAAGGTCATCGCTAAAGAGGCTGGCTGTTCACAGAGCTCAGTGTCCAAGCACATTAATAGAGAGGCGAAGGGAAGGAAAAGATGTGGTCGAAAAAAGTGTACAAGCAAGAGAGATAACCGCACCCTGGAGAGGAATGTGAAACAAAACCCCTTCAAAAATGTGGGGGAGATTCACAAAGAGTGGACTGCAGCTGGAGTGAGTGCTTCAAGAACCACCACACACAGACGTATGAAAGACATGGGTTTCTGCTGTCGCATTCCTTGTGTCAAGCCACTCTTGAACCACAGACAGCGTCAGAAGCGTCTTGCCTGGGCTAAAGAGAAACAGGACTGGACTGCTGGTGAGTGGTCCAAAGTCATGTTCTCTGATGAAAGTAAATTTTGCATTTCCTTTGGAAATCAAGGTCCCAGAGTCTGGAGGAAAAGAAGAGAGGCACTTCATCCACGTTGCTTGAAGTCCAGTGTAAAGTTTCCACAGTCAGTGATGGTTTGGGGTGCCATGTCATCTGCTGGTGTTGGTCCATTGTGTTTTCTGAGGTCCAGGGTCAACGCAGCCACATACCAGGAAGTTTTAGAGCACTTCATGCTTCCTGCAGCTGACCAACTTTTTGGAGATGCAGATTTCATTTTCCAACAGGACTTGGCACCTGCACACAGTGCCAAAGCTACCAGTACCTGGTTGAAGGACCATGGTATCCCTGTTCTTAATTGGCCAGCAAACTCTCCTGACCTTAACCCCATAGAAAATCTATGGGGTATTGTGAAGAAGAAGATGCAATACACCAGACCCAACAATTCAGAAGAGCTAAAAGCCACTATTAGAGCAACCTGGGCTATCATAACACCTGAGCAGTGCAACAGACTGATCGACTCCATGCCACGCCGCATTGCTGCAGTAATACAGGCCAAAGGAGGCCCAACTAAATACTGAGTGCTGTACATGCTCATACTTTTCATGTTCATACTTTTCAGTTGGCCAACATTTCTATAAATCCTTTGTTTTTATTGGTCTTCAGTAATATTCTAATTTTCTGATATGATGAATTTGAGATTTTCATTTGTTGTCATTTGTAATCATCAAAATTAAACAAAATAAACATCTGAAATATATGAGTTTGTATGTAATGTATGAATATAATATACAAGTTTCACTTTTTAAATGGAATTACTGAAATCAATCAACTTTTTCATGATATTCTAATTTTATGACCAGCACCTGTATTGTGTAAGGGTTAAATTTTGAAGACACCTGGTGCCACAAATTAATCAGCTGATTAACTCAAAACACCTGCAAAGGGCTTTAAATGGTCTCTCAGTCCAGTTCTGAAGCCGACACAAACATGGAGAAGACTTCAGATTAGACAGCTGTCCAAAAGGCGACAATCAACACATTGCACAAGGAGGGAAAGACACAAAAGGTTATTGCTGAAGAGGCTGGCTGTTTTCAGAGCTCTGTGTCCAAACACATTAATAGAGAGGCAAAGGGAAGGAAAAACTGTGGTCAGAAAAAGTGTACAAGCGATAGGGATCACCACGCCCTAGTCAAGATTGTGGAAAAAAAAACATTCAAAAATGTGGGGGAGATTCACAAGGAATGGACAGCTGCTGGAGTCAGTGCTTCAAGATCCACCACCAAGAGACGCTTGAAAGACATGGGCTTCAACTGCCGCATACCTCGTGTCAAGCCACTGTTGACCAAGAAACAGCGCGAAAAGCATCTCACCTGGGCTAAGGAAAAAAAGAGCTGGACTGCTGCTGAGTGGTCCAAAGTCATGTTTTCTGACCAAAGCAAATTTAGCATTTCCTTTGGAAATCGAGGTCCCAGAGTCTGGAGGAAGACAGGAGAGGCACAGGATCCACGTTGCCTGAAGTCTAGTGTAAAGTTTCCACCCTCAGTGATGGTTTGGGGTGCCACGTCATCTGCTGGTGTCGGTCCACTCTGTTTCCTGAGATCCAGGGTCAATGCAGCCGTTTTAGAGCACTTCATGCTTCCTGCTGCTGACCTGCTCTATGGAGATGGAGATTTCAGGTTCCAACAGGACTTGGCGCCTGCACACAGTGCAAAATCTACCCGTGCCTGGTTTACGGACCATGGTATTTCTGTTCTAAATTGGCCAGCCAGCTCCCCTGACCTTAGCCCCATAGAAAATCTATGGGGTATTGTGATAAGGAAGATGCAGAATGCCAGACCCAAAAACGCAGAAGAGTTGAAGGCCACTATCAGAGCAACCTCGGCTCTCATAACACCTGAGCAGTGCCAGAAACTCATCGACTCCATGCCACGCCGCATTAATGCAGTAATTGAGGCAAAAGGAGCTCCAACCAAGTATTGAGTATTGTACATGCTCATATTTTTCATTTTCATACTTTTCAGTTGGCCAACATTTCTAAAAATCCCTTTTTTGTATTAGCCTTAAAGCTACAGTGTGTAATAATTACAGGGATATACAGTCAGAAATGTAATATATTATACATAACTATGTTATTTATCATCATCTACGAGCTCAGCCTCTTAACCTTAATATTTGCGTTGCCTTAGAATTCGTTATTTATAATTACATAGGAGCGGGTCTCGCAGCCATGGAGGCAGACATCTTTGCGCTACGGCAGCGCAGAGCCAACAAACTAGCGATTGCGAGATCGCCAAAACGTCACAACGACGTAGAAAAGATAACGGGTATATTTATTATCTTAAGTCTACATGAAATCTATACCCTACACAGACTAATGAAATACTATCTGTAAAATTATCTATGTAAACAAAATGCTGATGAAGGTTCTCAGTCATCCAGGTCGTAGTCATTCCGTAAAAATATAAAAATATCCACTGGACTTGGTTTTCAAGATTTGAAGACAGGTTCAGATATTACAGGCTAACGATGGGACTAAATGACCCATTCATCGGTTACCATTTGCATGTTTCCAAGCAATACAAGGCTTTGTCTATATAAGACTCAAACTCACTGCAGATCCAGACATTTGAATTGAGAAAGCTTCCTGGAGAGGTGGCGAAACATCTTCAAATCTTGGAAACCAAGTCCAGTGGATATTTTTATATTTTTAGGGAATGGCTATGTAAACAAACCTCATCACTTGAGAAGGTAGGTGATGCGGACGTCGTGGAAGACATTTTGTCCCGTAACGCTCGCCGTACTGTTGGGGGGGGGGAGAAGCGGTGGGGGGGGGGGAGATGTTCATGTTGCTGCAGTCTGCAGTCTGGACGTTAGATGTCGCTAATTGTTACACACTGTAGCCTTCAGTAATATTCTAATTTTGTGACACACGGAGTTTTGGATTTTCATTTGTTGCCACTTCAAATCATCAAAATTAAATGAAATAAAGATTTAAATGCATCAGTCTGTGTGCAAGGAATAAATATAACGTACAAGTTACACCTTTTGAATGCAATTACTGAAATAAATCAAGTTTTTCAAAATATTCTAATTTACTGGCTTTTACCTGTATATTGCTCCTTGCAGAATCAACATATCTGTATCAAATGAAAGATCAATTTCTGTGGAAATCAGCACAGTGAGGACCATGTTACATTTCTTTAGTGTTTAAAATAATTCAACCTGCACTGTAAAGTAAGAAGTACACCCGTAGGCATACAAGTTTTAAAGACCTCTATATATGCAATGATGCAGCAGTTGTGATCTTTCTCAGTGATCCATACAAAGTTTTCACTACCAGCTTGGTTCCTACCAACAGCCATTATCCTCCAGAACTTTTGTTGAATCAGAAGAGGAAACACACACAACCAAAAGACCTACCATAACAACCATAACAATTGACTTCAACTGAATAATAAAGTATTCATTTCATCTCCAATTTGTACCGTCTATCTAAACCAGTGGTTTTTAAACTTTTTCTGCAGGTCCCCCTTTTCCATGGTAATTATAATGTTAAGCCCCCCATCCCCGCCACCGGTATCACATGAAAAAATGCACAGAATCTGGCCAGGCACAATACCTTTTGTTCTGTGATAATTTGTTCATTAGTAGTTTAAAAAATGTAACAATTTTTTAGTTAGAAGAGCAAAAAAATTGCAGAACCACTGCTCTCAACCTAATCATCAAGTTATACCTGTCATGCATTATGTGACTTAGCCCTTGCCATTCGGTTTCCTCCTCTATCCCTTGCACCAATAAGCCACTTGGATGCTGCCTTTTCTGCCTCTTTTCTTGTGATCTGGCTGGTGAGAGCATTTCTTTTCAAACTGCCTGAAAAGAACAAAGAACAGGAGACTATATTCTACACTACAAAAAGTAAACTAAACATAAGTAAATAACTTATTAAAAATAAGTAGAACATGAATTTAATATTCTTGAAATAAGAGTATTTTGCCTTAATTTGGTAAATAAGATTATCTGTTAATGGAATGAGCATTTTTAAAATAAGATAATTATATATTACTATAAGATAACAGCTGCTCTAAGGAGTCCTTTGCAATATGAATATTCTGCACACTAATATTGTGATGCATTTCTATTTTATATTGTTGTTTTAATGTTTATTATGTTTTCAATGTCTGTGTACAGTGACCTTGTGTGTTTTGATAAGACGCTTTTAAATAAAATGCATTATTTTATTATATGTTATGCAGCCCTACTCTGTACATATTAGAAAGTTTTTATTCTCAACAAAGCCTGGTGTAAATAAAAGCATGTCATTCAAAGATTGTTAACTTCTGCTCATCTAATGTAAACAGTGCAATTTGAGTACTTCTTTTAATCTAGAAATACTTAAAAAATTAAGCATTTTTGTGCATGTAAACTTTAGCTAATGATGAAATTGTTTGGAATTACAACTACAGTTTGAGTGAGAATCTATCTTTTGAACATCAAGATTTTGTAAAATATAATTCATAAGCTTACCATATAGCACTTCAAAAAGCTTAAGGCCTCTAAATTCCCGCTTTCCATGGCGCCCAATAAAGTTATATTCCCTAGAAAGGGGATTATCCATTATGAAAGCCATCATTCTTCTGGTAGCTTCATCAACTGTACTTCCTCCAATCTCTGCCACAACAGCAACCTTAGGACAAAAGATTAAATAAATTTTACTAATCGTACTTACAGTCAGCTAAAATTACAAAACTTCATCTACACAGTCATGACAATATTGAAATTATCTCAATTCGAGTGTTGAGTGTCAAGTCTAAAAGTCTGATGCAATGAGTTAAATGATAATGAACCAAAAAAAAAAAAAAAGGATTGGTTTTGGCATTGCATTAATGACTAGGTAGCATTTACAGAAATAATAAAAAAAAAAAAATCAACTTTTGTACATCTCTATCCACTCCTTCATTCCACTGAAAATGTTTGAATAAACAGCAACTCTCCTTGATTATACACAGGTGGTCGTAAAATTAAAAAAAATTTAGGCACATAAAATTAAAAAAATGTAGGCATAGAATAATTCATATTTACCACTTCTTTCAGGAAGACAGGATCTAATAACTTTTGCTCCAGTGCTTCCACATCTTGGACTGTCTGGAGGGGAAACCGAGCACCCCCGGGTAACACAGCAGCAACTGGTCCATCGCGTTGTTTCAGCAGAGACTGTAGCATTCGACTATGAACCCTCTGAGTGTCTTTGATGTCCTCCAAAAGGGTTAGAACACGGACAAACATGTTGGCATTTGTGTCCTGTACAAGTCGTCGTGGATTTGGTTGTGTAACCACAGGGGAAGGCCTTGTGGGTGTTGGTGGCTGAACAAATGGATGGGTGACATTCGGGTGGGGAGTTATCCTTGAAGATCTCTCCTCTGCTGATGACAGTGTTGAGGTTTCTTGTTGTTCTGCAGGATCGTCCCACTCATCTGAGCTGGACAGAACCACTGGCCTTTAAATAAATGAGAAAATTATTTAAAAACCATGAGATTTTGAATGCATTTAGGCACTGCTTATAGGTATAAAGATAAAGTAGCTGTGACAGACACCGTGGATGAGATAGCTAGTTTGAAACAAAACCGGCAAAGCAACACTACATTGGGCTACATCTGGTTTGTAGAAATTATATTTCCATTTTTTTACTAGAGCTACAACAGCAAAAAACTTAAATCTGATGTTAGTGTTTTGTTTTTTTTTATAATATTGATAATACACTGTTTCTTTTAGGTGCTTTTAAAAAGGAAATAATTACCTCCTCTTTCGCTTTCCTTTTCCCAAACTCCCTCCAGAATCTGACTCAGTCTGCAGATCAGATGTTGTCTCAGACCTCCGCAGTTTCACTCTGGCACTTTCATAGCTCTCTGTAAAAGAATAACATACAATACAAAACAGAATGTTGTTGATAATTACAGCAACATTTCTTCTTCTACCTTTAATGAAGAAATATTTGCAGATAATGAGGCTTCTCACCAGCTTTCCCCAAGATGCGAACTCTGTACTGTGGCCAGTCTGTATTTGGAGAGATTTCATCCCTTACCACCTTGTTGATATTTACTCTCCCTGGTGGCCAGAAACAAGAGTCTTCTGCTGGTCCTGTAAACCACTTGCAAGGAACAATGGATACACCCCCACCATCCAGAAAATCAACAACAGCAAATGGCAGCATGCTGGAGGGAAAGAAAAAGAAACATCTAGAACAGCAGTGGCAAAACTACAAATCCAGACTTCAGTGGCAACAGCACCATTTTTTGTTTCAACTTATCAACTGATACAACATGCATGTTTTTAGACAAATTTGCAACAAAGTAAATGCCAAGGCATGTTGAGTCCAATGTGTAGGTGAAAAAAGCATTACAGTTTTCAAAGACCTGACAGAGTGCTTTGACAGCTTGACCATCCTGTAAAATGTTTGTCACAATAACAATTCTTCCTCCTATATTGAAACAGTTATCACCCTTGGAACAACACACCAATATCTGTCCATCAGTGTATTTCCTGAACTGCTTACAGGTTCCAAGATCACTTGTTATTGGTCCAGAGTTATGAGGCTGTTTAAGAGGAGAGGAAACAGAAATATTTTTTCTTTTTTTTGAAAGTCTTTGTCTTTCATAGATGCGTTTGACAATTTGTTCCACTGGTTTCTGAGGTTTCCGCACAATTTTTTTCAGTTTTCCCAGGAAGGATTCAAATGGGAAGCAGGAAATGCTGTCCAAGGGGCCAAACTTTCGTGCATCTTGAGAAAGGTGTATTAAAGAATGTACATTATAGCCAACAAATTCAAGACCATAAATTAAACCAAAGTCTTTCACAAACAGCTTCAAAATATCCTCTACATAATCACAGTTATTAATACACAGATTCGGACTTAGAATTATTCTTATAGATACAGATAAAAGCATAAAGTGTCTATACATTTGGCTTGGTATTTTATTAAATAGAACAACTGGACCTGTGTAAAGTAGAAATTGCCTCAGTTCAGTTGCTTTCCACATGCTAATTTCAAGGAGAGACCTTGGTTTCCGTGCAAAACTTTTAGGCAAGTATTGCCTGACAGAAATCATAAATGCTGATGTCATTGTAAGAATTTGCATAGACTGTCTGCAGTTTCTTGGACCCTTTAGCCAAAGATAGATGAGCTTGCGCATTACCCCCAGACACACAAGGTGCATGTAGTCCAGCACAAAACCGGATACTAACTTCACGCCTATCTCATTCAAAGGTGACACGCCAACCTGGTGTTCTTTGTAGGCCATAGCACGAAAGGCCTCATCAGTCCTTAGCTCAGCAGAAACTTCAGGAAAACATAGTCTTCGATTCATATATACACCTTTTTGAGTGCAACGTTCACATGCATAATAGCCAGTGTGTCCCTTAACAGATTTAAGAAAAGCACGAGCTGGAGCATCACAAATGAATGCATCTGGAGCAGCAACAGTGAAATGAACACCATTATACTGAACCCCCACTTGCATAATTGCATGTAGATCTTGTATAAACTCCTTCAAGTACTCATGAACATTAGAGGGTTTAGTCATACCAGAGTAAAGGCCAATCACAAAAACATCAGAATTTGGAATCTCCTTGATTCTACCAAGAATAGGCCACAGACTTACATTGTTGCTGCGGAATAAAGGTAGACCATCCACATTTATTCTAAGTGTTATAGTATCCGTTAGTTCTTTTAGATCAAAATCTAAATTTTCCAGTGCTGCAACAATTGAATTCTTCACTCCAAAATGGTAGTATGATCCCCCAGCCACATTTATCACATTACATTTCCGTGTAGTTGACATCAATGTTCGAGCATCTAATGGTACATTAAGACCTTTTTGCCTAAGAATTTTAAGAAGGGCAGACAAAGCATTATGTGAGATATTGTGTTCTGCAGCCCACTCAGCAAGTTCTTTTGTATCATCTGGTGTGTCTGAAAAAGCATCTGAATCTGTACTATCATCCAGATCAAACTCATTAAAATGACACCCCTCAGTTTCAAAGTCTTCTGGAAATATTTCAGAATCCAAAGCATCATAAAAAATATCTGTAGATTGTTCATTCTGTGAACTGACTTCAGTATCTTCGCTATCATGATGTATATCCTGAAGCGGTTCATTCACAAAATAATCAAAGTCTAGATCATGCTCTGCCTCATTCTGCTGGGAAGCAAGCCAAAAATGTTCAGCAACTTTTGCAGCTATTTTTCTTCTCTTTGTCCTCTCAGACTGCTCCATTTTATTCTAGAAAACAAATGGTGTGGAATTAGAAAGGGGTAAAATGCAAAAATGTTTTGGTCACTTTGGTAACAACCTCCATAAGTTACACTATCACAAAGTCTTTAATCATGAACACTATCGACATACATTTACATGTAATCATATTTTCTTTGTCCAAATGTATTGCATTACTTGTGTTTTAGACATAAAGAAACAACCAGCTTCTGGTGGGGGGGGGGGGGGGGGGGGGTTATTGCTGTTGTTGGTCCTTTAGCTTTAAAATAATGATGCCAACTTGGGCACAGATCATTTATAAAATGAAATTAAAAAAAGCTGTCCAGTGCATCAATTAATTTTTCTTCCTCCAGCTCAGGGTTTCTTTTCATTTTTTTTTCTAAAGATTTTCTTTGTCCTTTCATTAGCTGTTCTAAACCCCCGCATCCTGTCTTTAAGTCAAACAGGCTTGGAACTTTCAACAACACCATCTCACAAGCAAATTACCACTGCTTTCCAGGAAAAGTCCACATTGCTATTGAAAAGAACAATACAGAAAATTCTTTGTCCCATTCGGTTCTTTATAACAACCTATTCATTTCTAACATATGGGTATAAAATTATAAGCAAAGGTGATAAAATGCACATTAAATATTAAACAGTCTGGACTACATTCTGCTCTACTGGATAAATTATACAGCCTGATATGCATTTTCTATGGTGCAGCCACCTCCTTAGTCCTTAATTTTTTTTAAATTAACTTAGAACACTGTATTCCTCAAAAAAATCAGCGTTTCAAACTGGAATACATAGACAGATCTTAGAAACAATTTTAATCTGTTAAATGTATTTAAAAAAAAAATATATATATATATTTTTTTTTTTTTTTTTTTTTTTCTGGGAATGCAATTTTAATCTGTTAAATGTATTTATAAAAAAAAAAAAAAAAATATATATATATATATATATATATATATATGTTTTATGGGAATGCATTTTGTCTATTTACTGTTTATCTCTTGCATCATTTATATCTATGTTGAATACCAAATCAATCGTTCAACAGATTTAAAATAACCCTACTAAATCCATCTCTAGAGGTTTTTGGACGGACGGTTTAATAGGTATTTCTGTTCTTACATTTAACATTTCTCTAAGACCATTAAACAACAGCCCACAATGTGCCACTGAAAAACACTCTGATCTATCATTTCCTTAGTACTCATACCCATCTAGCTGTTCAGTGAATTTACCTCTTTACTACTAACGCTGTTGTAGTGTATCTGATCCAGCAGCTGCGCGATACTTTGTTCGTAGGCAATTCACAGCAGCGCATAAACTGGCCCGATCAGCTCCCGCCATTTTGCTAGATTTAATAATCCCTGCCACCTGCGCGACTCGACCCCATCCATAAACGGAAACGAGGGATGGATTTTTTTTTTCTTTTATTGTTGCTAGGCTTAATGGTGATGTGTTTGAGTGCAACGGATAGACATTTATGGATGAAAATAAGGAACAGATTGAAGAAGATGCCAAATAAAAAGAGACTCCATGATTATATTTTTCAAGGGAAAAATCACAATTTTCTAGGAGGTAACCAGCACAGACTTTAATGCTCAGACATGAAAAAGCATTTATGGCTACGAATCCTCCCTTTTTTTAATAGGTAAAAAAAAATAAAAATAAAAATATCTTTCTTTACAACCTTAGCACGTTTCAATAATTTCTGATATACATAGATTCAAGAGAAAAAAAAAAAAAACTTACCTTTACAGCAGAAAACTTGTTCTTTTATTCCACTTTGTCCAGGAAAAATACCAGCTCTAACGTTCACTCCGTCCAAAGGCGCGAAAAGAATCTTCCAGAGGGGAGGGGCTTGAAAACAACTCGCGATATTTCCAGAAATATCGCGCGCATAAAAAAAATACCTCTAGATATAAAATGTATTTAACTCAGTTTTGAATTATTTTTTTTTCCTAGAAGCATCTTACAATTTACAATATGTTTTTTATGTTGATCACTATTATATTCTATACTTTTATTAATCAAATATTGATTTAAGCATAGCTGTTTTAATATCTTAAATTATGGCGCCCCTGCATAATTTATTAGACATTAGGGCCTATTCCATTAATTATTTTCAAATTAAAACATTTTTAAAAATTATATTTAAGTCAGCTATACCAACACTTATTTCCCAGTTGTTACCCATCTGGTGCCCATAGAGTATTGCCCATCTGGGCTGGCTCATATCGGTCCTACATTGATCACCCAAGTGGGTCCCACTTTGGATGCCCATTTACAGCCCATGCCCATTTGGATCCCCCATTGACCAAGTAAATCCCATGTGGGGCCCACACACATGTGTTTGCTGGGATCATTGCTGTCAACTTACCTTCCTTTCAACACCTACAGCAACTCAACAACTGCTTTCCAACAATGAGGTGAACATAGAAAGAGAGGGAGAGTCTTCTAAAAAACGTTGGTTCAGACTCAGTGGTTACTCTCCTCTTGGAATCCTTCACACACCCAATATTAGTAAGACTAAACCTTCTGTCTCACTTTATTTGATATTTCAACCTGAAAAAATTGCCCAAGTCCTCACATCAGTCCCAATCTGGACCCATTGTCTTAACCAGAAGCAGATTTTGTTTTTCTAAAATTTTCACAAGAACCAGTTGTGACGTAACAAAATGTCCATCTCAGAAATTCATCTCCTCAATCTCCAGTTGCACCCATGCAGAACTGAGTGCCTGTTTCTCTCCGACAAAGAGACCAATAAGTTTTAAATCTACAGTGTCTTTACTTGTTATCTTTGGTCACTACAATCCTAACTGCCCAATTTTCCCAAAAGACCTGGGGTCCTTTTCATGATGCGTCGTCAACAAACTCAAATCTTTGAACTAGTCTCAGGCTAGAACCCTGAGATTTCCGTTTGTAAAGTGCATGCAGGATAACAGGCAAGATGAAGTCCCTTTATTTCACAGTAATGAAATTACAGATCTTTATGCAGGCATACAGTGAGTAGGAACATGTTTGTAAAATAAAGAGTGCCAATGCTACAACTAAGATGGGGTAGTAGAAGTTTGCTGCTTGAGTTAATGGGTTAGTTTATATGTAGTCTATTGTAACTAAGGGTGTGCAAAATAATCGTCAAATCGATGAATCGTGATTCTAATTTTTGTGATCTACTGAATCGATTCTTGAAGGCAAGAATCGATTATTAAAAAAAAAAAAAATGAACAAATAAAATACATTAATGGTTGGCGCACATCAATCAAACCAAGTGGAATACAACTTCCAGTCCAGCAGATGTCGCTGCGGATGTGTTGACGCCTGCTGCTTTGTGTCATAAGCATGTCCGGACTGATTATCCTCATTTTGTTATTTTAAGTTTGATGAATCCTAAGATCTTTTTGTTGGTGTGTCCATGCCAGTAATAGTAATATTTCTGTCCAGTATTTGTTTTCATTGCAACACCTCCAAAAGTAATTTCAATAAATACAGCTATGTATGAATTCAGTTGCTTTCAGTTATGTATCAATTGAAGACACTATCCAGATCACACCCAGCCAGTCAGCCACTGGTAAGGGCTGTATCTTTTTCTTACAGTGTTCAGTGAAAATATCACAATGCATCGCAATATTTCAAGTATCGTGATGCATCGTGATAGAATCGCATCGTGGCATGTGAATCGTGATTCGAATCGAATCGTGACTTCTTTGCCAATACCCACCCCTAATTGTAACCCCAATACCATTACAGGGGAACACTAGTTTACTGCTTAAATGGTTGTATCAATGTATTCTATTTAGGTACAATCCCACAGGGAGAAGCCCACATGGCAGCAAGTAAAGATGAGGTATAACATTTTTTCAAACAAGTAACGCTACGTACACACCAAATGTGTTTGGGCATCAAAACCGCTTTAACAATGAAATTTGGATGCTGTGTCAGGCTCTGGTCAAATACAGGCGAATATGCTTTGACTGTTTGACGCTTGTGGGAGGATCTAAATAGCATTGGCATGTAGGGATGGGAATCGAAAACCGGTTCCTGTTCAGAACCGGTTCCGTATTTTCCGATTCCATGGCATCGTTTGGCAGCTCGCTGAACGATTCTTTTTTCGATTCCCGCAGCACCAGAGCCTAGAGCGCCGGCTCTGGGGAGCACGACTTACGTCACGTTTTTTTACGTAAGTTACGCAAGTTACGCAAGTTGTAAGAACTATTCGAGGAGGAAGACAGCGAGCTGCGGTCACTTTGTGAATCAAAGCCCCGTCTTTCCTTAGCCCAGAGGGTAGATCAGGAAATCCAGCTCTATAAAAGCTTGCCCTCCATCCCCTGCAGGGATAGCGCCACACTGTTGTGGTGGAACAAGCAAGATACGCTGCCCTTGCTATCGAGACTGGCTGAAAACTACCTCTGTGTGCAGGCTTCCTCCACCCCATCTGAGAGGGTGTTCTCCACAGCTGGAAACACCATAAGCCCTGAAAGATCCCGTATCCTTCCAGAAAAAGCAGATATGCTCATCTTTCTGCAAAAGAACAGTTAATTTTCCCTACTACTGTTTTATAATTCGTATTTTTGGTTATTTAAAATAGGTTATTATCCCATCATTTGTTATTAGACATTGTTGGTTATTAAGTTTGTTCTTGTATTCATTTTTCATTTAAACACGGATGTTACTCCAGTTTCACATTTCCTGTGGACATCTTGATCTTGTTGATTTTGTAAGATTGTGCAATAGTTAAGTAAACAAAGTTGATGCTGATAATCAAACTGTTTGTTCTCCTTTTTCCCCCAAATTGGAATCGAAAAAAGAATCGATAAAGAATCGAATCGTTTCATAGAATCGAAAAGGGAATCGGAATCATGAAAATCTTTTCAATTCCCAACCCTATTGGCATGTTGTGGCATCAGCAGCAGATCTGACCACCTGAGCAGATCTGGTACATACACCTGTTCTGCTATTTTCGAGATAATCCTAAAAGGTGCTCCTGGCTGTGAAACTTTAGAAGAAGTAGTTCATTACAAAGTTTCTGATTATGAAAAAACAAAACATAAATAGTATATCATATTCAGATGACATAAAACATGTAATGCCGTAGCAGTAAGGTGCATTGGCAAAGTGTTGATAAGGTAAACACTTATAAAAGTTCTCCAAATCAATTTGGTGAGGTGAGGTTTGCTGGAGAAGGAACTTTATAACAAAGTTTTGGATTATCATGTCAGCATTATGTCCTACTCTATTTTTGTGTCCTCTTTTTTAAAATAGCAAACAGATCATTTAAAGATGCTCTCTGAAACATTTGATCATCTTTCATCAAAATAAAAGGTGCTGTCTGAAGATTCTGGTCAGACAAATTTCCTCCTAAGCCATTCAATCTGTCATTTCCTTCATGTGTTCAATATGAAATTTCATTATCACAAGAGAGAAGAGACAACATCACGAAGATTGACAAAATAGGTATTGTGGCAGTGTCTTCTGTGCAGCTGTGTGTGCATAGCACAGAGCATGTTTCTGTTATACAAGCAGATTACTTCTCAGCAAATGGTCATACAGTAATCTCAACCCCTTGTTGCAAAGGTAAGAGTATCTAGTTTCCAATGATACCAGCCATGCCATGAGAGGGTGTGACTAAAACAGCCGTGTACTGTTGTATAATTTCTGTAAAGTCTGACATGTCGGGTGGAATTTAATATCCAATTTTATATGTCCTCCTTCTTTTTCCCCAGCTATCCCTTAGAGAAGTTTTTGTAATGCCGCAAATGTGAGGACGGATAAAAAACTTTTTGAATATGAAAGGACATCTACAAGCAGTCTGAGAATTAATTGGATCCTTGTCAAAAGGACATGCCATTTTTTTGTTGTGAACACCCAATGTGTTTTAACAGACCTACTGGTGGGGTTTTTTACGATTCCCAAAGAACTATGAAAGAGCTCTTGACTAATCAGAAGTGGCGTGAGTGGTTTTAAGGAGGATGGAGACAGAGGACACTGAGTTTATTGAGAAAAACCTTCTCCCGTACAGAGGTCCATTTCATAAAGCAGGTTTCATGAGAACTCTATGATTTTTTTCTTTCTAACCCAGAGTTTTTTTATTTCACAAAGGAAGGATATTCAACCCATTTGTCTGTTACCACATTGATCTTCACCTTAGGGCTATTTGAACTTGACTGGCATGCACAGAGACATGTTGGTAATAGTAAGGGTTTGAGTAAGGGTCCAGGTTAGGCCATATGAAATGAATGTAAGTCAATAATATGACCCCATAAATTATGAACACAAAGCTGTGTGTGTGTTTGTGTAAGTGGACATCCTGCATCTTTTAGTTATATCTCTGCTTCCCCACACCTGAATCAAATGACTGCATTACCTACTAAGTCTTGCTAATGGCCCGATTATTCAACTCAG